GGACACTGAAAAAAGAGATAGAGGAAGACATAAACAGATGGAAGAACATACCGTGTTCTTGGATTGGTAGAATCAACATCACAAAAATGTCCATACTACCTAAAGCAATCTATAGATTCAATGCACTCCCCACTAAAATACCAACGGCATATTTCACAGACCTACAACGAACTCTCCAAAAATTCATCTGGAATAAAAAAAGACCACAAATAGCTGTAGCATCCTGAGAAAGAAGAACAAAGTAGGAGGGATCTTAATACCAGATATCAAGCTGTATTACAAAGCCACTGTTTTCAAAACTGCCTGGTACTGGCACAAGTACAGACATATAGACCAATGGAATAGAATAGAGAATTCAGAAATTGACCCAAACCACTATACTCAATATTTGACAAAGGAGGCAAGAGCATACAATGGAATCAAGACAGTCTCTTCAATAAATGGTGTTGGGGAAAATTGGTCAGATACATGCAAAAAAATGAAACTAGACCACCAACTTGCACCATACACGAAAATAAACTCAAAATGGATAAAGGACTTAAACATAAGATGGGAAACCATAAAAAATATTAGAGGAATTCACAGGCAGCAAAATCTCAGACATATGCCAAAGCAATTTCTTCACCAATACTGCTCCTAGGGCAATGGAAAATAAAGAGAAAATAAACAAATGGTTCTATCTACTTATATAAAAACCCTGGGTGGTGTTCATCACGACCAGTCTGGCTACCAAGCAGAAGGAAGTCAGTCCTGCAGGGGTTGTCTTGGAAACGGCTGCACCCTCTCCCAAGCTGTTTCCTGGAGCTGTTTCCTGTAAGGGCCGGGTTTGAGGCAGGAACCCGCCCTGGGAGCGTGGAGGCATTATATCTTTCTAAAGTGTGCCACGCCAGCATGGCCAAGGGTGAACCTGGATGGGGGTGGCTTAAAGGCTTAGAAAAGACAGACAAGAGAATGAAAGCCAGGTCTTGGTGGAACGCTGCTTCTCTGAGAGACAGCGACCAGGCCCACAGCCATGCCTTTTTTTTATAGCAGATGCTATGAGGCAAAGTAAGGGCATGACCAAGATGTTTACAACATTCTCCTGGGTTTCAATCCTACTCAACTACATGCACCTGAACTCTATCAAGCCTACATCACTCAGGCACATGGGGCCACGTGTTCAGACCATAGGTTCAAGCTCACAACTACAGCTGTTGGCTATAATTGTGCTGGGAGGGCCCTGCCCTCCAAGCTGGGACTTGCACATGGCAATGAGAGGACTGTGCCTTCTTCTCAGTCCAAGGCTTGAACCTGTCCAAAACACTGTAGTGGTCCCCACAATAAAGTTTTAATTCTGTTTCTTTGTTAATAATGTTGTGGCCCCACCCCATAACAAAGAAACAATTTCCGGAGGATGGGGCCCAGGAATCAGGATTTAAAAAAGATTCCCAGGTGATTCTAATATGAGCCAAGGTTGAGAACCACTGCTATAGATAATATTAAAAATATATCTAAATGTGCAATTCTTTGTCCAAAAAATGAGCATGTTCAAAAATTAAATGAAGAAAATTTGAATATACTCGATGGAGATTTTCACACATATTTGAGTGATGATTCCATTGATTCCACAGATGATGCTCAAAAGGAAAATTTTCCCATTGAATTTCTTAATAGTATTACTCCTTTAGGAATGCCGTGTCACAAATTAAAATTGAAAGTGGGTGCAATCATCATGCTATTGAGAAATCTCAATAGTAGATGGGGTCTTTCTAATGGTACCAGATTTATTATCAAAAGATTATGACCTGACATTATCGAAGCTGAAGTATTAACAGGATCTGCAGAGGGAGAGGTTGTTCTGATTTCAAGAATTGATTTGTCCCCATCTGACACTGGCCTCCCATTTGAATTGATTCGATGCCAGCATTTGTGATGACTATTGATAAATCACAAGGACAAACTCTAGACAAAGTAGGCATATTCCTACCTGTACCTGTTTTTGCACATGGTCAGTTATATGTCGCTTTCTCTCGAGTTTGAAGAGCATGTGATGTTACAGTTAAAGTTCTAAGTACTTCATCACAAGGGAAATTAGTAAGCACTCTGAAAGTGTTTTCACTCTTAATGTGGTGTACAGGGAGATATTAGACTAAGTTTAATCACTTTATCAGTCATTGTTTGCATCACTGTTGTTTGTATATCATGTTTTTGTTGTTTTCATATCATGTTTTTGTCATTTTTATATCATGCCTCTGTTGTTGTTATATCCTTTTGTTACTGTTTATTTATTAATAAATTTATATATTATTTTCATATGCATTTTACTAATTTCCTTTCATCTCTCACACTTCTATTATAGAGAAAGGGCAAATAGCAATATTAAAATATCTCCGCTAATTAATTTCCTTTTTAAAAAAATATATTTTATTGATTTTTTACAGAGAGGAAGGGAAAGTGATAGAGAGTTAGAAATATCGATGAGAGAAAACATCGATCAGCTGCCTCTTGCACACTCCCCACTGGGGATGTGCCCACAACCAAGGTACATGCCCTTGACCTGAATCGAACCTGGGACCCTTGAGTCTGCATGCCGATGCTCTATCCACTGTGCCAGACTCGTTAGGGCAATTAATTCCCTTTTAATGTGCATGAATTTCGTGCACCGGGATACTAGTATCAAAATAAAAAGCTTCTGCACAGCAAAAGAAACCATCAACAAAACAAGAAAGCCCACTGCATGGGAGAACATATTTGCCAATGTTATCACCAATAAGGGTTTGATCTCCAACATTTACAGGGAACTCTTATAACTTAACAAAAGGAAGATAAACAACCCAATTTAAAAAATGGGCAACGGACCTAAATAGATACTTTTCGAAAGATGACATAAGGAAGGCCAAGTGACATATGAAAACATGCTCAAAGTCACTAATCATTTGAGAGATGTAAATCAAAATGACAATGAGGTACCATCTCACACCTGTCAGAATGGCTATCATCAACAAATCAACAAATGACAAGTGCTGGCGAGGATGCAGAGAAAAAGGAACCCTCGTGCACTGCTGGTGGGAATGCAGACTGGTGCAGCCACTGTGGAGAACAGTATGGAGTTTCCTCAAAAAACTAAAAATGGAACTCCCATTTGACCGAGTGATCCCACTTCTAGGAATATATCCCAAGAAACTAGAAAGATCAATCAGAAAGGATATATGCACCCCTATGTTCATAGCTGCACAATTTACCATAGCTAAGATTTGGAAACAGCCTAAATTCCCATCAGCAGATGAGTGGACTAGAAAACTGCATGTTTACATTTGTAGGGAAGCAGGGCAGCCCGCTCCTGCCACCCACATCACCTTCTAGGCTAAGAAAGGCCTGCTGATCTCCATGTGTCTCCTCCCTTCCGGAATCAAAACCTCTTGGGGATACATGATCCCATCGATGGCCCCAACACATGCTCGATGTCACTGTCACAGACATTCTCAGTCATTATAACCTGTTCCTCAGCCCATAGTGTCCTGCTCCACCCACTGCCACTCCTCACCTGTCACCCCTTAAGGACCACCTTATGTTTTCCTAGCCGAAATGTGAGCAAGATCTCAAATGACCCCCTTCAATAGCTCCCTTGCCCTACCTTTCTTCCTCTAAAAAACTTGCATTTTAAAATTATATATTTGATTGGTTTCAGAGAGGAAAATAGAGATAGAAGCATCAATGATGCTTCTGCATGTTACAAACTGGGGATCAATACCTCCCCTGACCTCTCCCTGACCCCTCCCCCGGCCAGCAGGCCACCAGTGGTGGCATAGCACCGAGGGAAGGAGAGGGGAGGAGGTGGGGAACCATGGGGTGGCGGGGCACTGAGGGCAGCGTCAGTGTCTGGCATCTGTTCCTTCCTCACCCAGCCTGGCCACTGTCACCTCCTCTCCCGACCCCGCCGGGGCCTTTGGGCCCTGATCGGCCTGGCCCTGATTGGCCCTGATCACCCGCCAGGCCTAGGGACCCCCACCCATGCACGCATTTCATGCACCAGGCCTCTAGTATATTTATAGATTGAGTGCCAAGGTTGAGAAAACTTCTGTTCCTAAAACCAGATGACATAGATTACTGTGGTACTTGAGTCACTAAATATCTATTTTTGCATAAAGCAGTTTGACTTAGGTTTCTGTCCTGACTAATACAATGTTTTGTTTGTTTGTTGTTTTTTTAATTTAATTTATTGTTTAAAGTATTACAAATAGTAGTGCATATGTCTCCTTTTTTTCCCCATGGACCTTCCCCTGGCCTTTCCTACCCCCCGGCACATGCCCTCACCCTCCACCCCCTAGTGTCTTGCATCCATTGGCTATGCTTATAGGCATGCGTACAAGTCCTTCGGTTGATCTCTTTAAATAATATCTTTAATTTTGATCCGTATTTCACACTCATTCCTTCTCTGTTACCTTTCACCAATCTTTACCATTTTTTCTAAACTATTCTCTCTTCTCATCATTTCTTAATTTTTTTCATTATTCCCCTCCCCCCACCCCCCTCCCACCCCTCCACCCTCCGCAAAATCATGATACTTGAAACTAGAAATCTTATTTGAGCTCTAGCTAAAATTATTCCATAAAGGAATGATATGAACAATTAGTCAAAGATTGGGTTAAAGATAAAATGAGATTATGCATGTAGTATTTCCAAACCATAAAGCATCATTGTATACATTGTAAGAGAGGGGGTTATTTTTATTTCATATCTTTTACATTTCCTTTTAAACACTTGTTTATTTTCCTTATTTTTCTTCCAATGATCCTCCTTTCTTTCCCTTTATATTGTTCTCATCCTCTTCCTTCCTCCCCCATTCATAGCTTTCATTTTCCTTCTTCCCCTTTCCCTCAATTTTTTTATTTCTCCCTTTCCTTTCTCCCTCCCTTCCTGATTGGTGTGCAGTGGTGATGAGTCACCCTGCGGTGTGAAATACTCAGTCTAAATTGGTGAGAAGAGTCAGAGGAGTTTGCACTTCCGCATCAGCCAGAGAGAATAATGGAGCAAACTGAACTCTCCACAGACACAGCTAACAAAGTAAGTCATGGTTTTCTCTTGAAATGTGTATGATCCTATTAGTAGGTAAAACCCAATATCTAATGCTGCATTGAAGTTCCCACGGAATATGTGTGCACCATGCTTTACACAGTGCAAGTATTCCAGGTAATTTGTAAGTCAAATTTTAAGAAACAAGATCATAACTGTGATAAAATAAGAACTGCTATTATTTAAAGAAACATCTTACTCTTTCTGTAAAGTAAAATAATCCTTTATAAAATTAAAATCATCCTCCAAATGCAATCACTGATTAATTTAGGGGGGGGATCAATCAATAAATATATAAGCTTAATCTGTATAGAGATTTAAAAATAAAAATTCAATAAATAAATAATTTATAAGACACAGGAACTAAGTACCAAGGTAAGATAAGATGTTCTATGTGATTTTTTATGAGTGAAATTGACTAAACAAACAAAATTAATATTTTTGTCCTGTATCATTTCTTATCATTTTCTTTGCATTATGAATTCTAATCTGTTTTAAATAAATGATTAATATTAAAAATTATAATGCAGAAATTTAGAATCTAAAACTGAACTGTGCTCCAAAGATCAGTTGGCCAATATTAACATCGTGTATCATTTGGAATGCAGAAAAGATATTTCCTAAGAATAAAGTGTATTAATCAGATTTATGTGATAAAACTATTTTTTAAACAAAGTCTATCTACTATGTCATAGGATGACATGAGATGCTTATAGAGAGAAAAACATTCATTTAATATTTCTACAGACAGATAAGTCAATAGATATCACTGGTTTCACATTACAACATTGTAAATTATTATTCACACATGTGATTGTTTTCATTGAATGCAATAGATCATCTGCATTTCAAAGTGACATAACCAAAATGATCAGTCAGCATAGAAGTGAATTTAACTATGTTTTTCACCTAATTTTAGTTTCATGGCAATAAATTTTCATTTTTTAAAAAATAGGTGATTTTATGCAGGGCAGCCATTGCCTGGAGGGCAAATGCTCCCCTGTCCATTGAACTACTTGAAGTTGATCCACCAAAGGCTTGTGAGGTTCGAATTAAGGTAAATATAAATGATACTTTTTGCAGGTATGCATGTGGATATTTGTGTTTACAATAATTTTACAATTTTAGAAGAACAAGTGTCATTCTCTATTTAAAAATAATTAAGGGTCTCTCTGATTTACATGTAGATCTGTATTAACATGTATAATAGTGAGATTATTTCATTTTGTTAAAGTGGCAAATATAATAAATGCTGAAATGTCTTTTAATGTTTCAGATGCACTTTTTAAAAATACTTTAAAAGTCAACACGGGCAATTATTGACCAAAAAGCTTCTTGGGTTTTTCACAATTATAAAGTTATTCCAAATGCTGTTATATAATAGGGCAGACATTCTTCAGTCATGGCTGAGAAAACAAGGGCACCCTTCCCTGACCCAGCTCCTACTTATAGAAATCTGTGGAACCCCATCAAGCATAGCAACATATGCATAATCAGTGTCCTAGAAGGAGAAAAGGGGGCCTAGAAAATTAAAAAAATAATTGCTGAAAACATTTTCAAATATGCTGAAAAACATTAACCTACATATCTGAGAAGCCCAATGAATTTCAAGTAGGATAAACACAGAGGTCTACAATATCATAGACAAATTCTGTGTTCAAAGACAAAGACAAAGTTTTAAAAGAAGCCAGAGAAAAATGACACATCTTATACGAGAGAACCCCAATAAAATTAATATAAGAAGCAATGAAATCCAGAGGGTGGAGAGATAACATATTCAAAGTGCTTGAAGAAAAAACTCAACCAAAAATCCAGCAAAACTATCTTTCAAAAATGAAGGTGACTTTCTCTATATCCTGGCCAACACTTGTTGTTTGTGGAAAACAGTATGGAAGTTCCTCAAAAAATTAAAGATGGAACTGCCTTATGACCCAGCAATTCCACTTGTTTTTTTGGATATTAGCTACAAGTCATGCAACAGGTTGCCAGGATCAGGATAGGAAACATAACATGTTTTAACTTGTTCTATTGAGGATGGGAGGAGGGCATTAAGAGCAATGCAAAAGAGAAGCATATATACCTTGATACCCAGGAGTCCCCTCTATATATTTAAGTATAGGTATCAAAATAGACCATAAATTTTGGGTTGTCATTTCATCACATCCCATAGAACACATAGCTCTTCCTGGCAAAGAGCTAGAAAATACTTCAATGATAATGTTAAATTCACTGTGATGTTAAAGAGGCCTAAATAAAATTATAAAGACAGAGACAAACTAAGTGTTTTGGTCTGTTTTCTGAAATAGCTATACTGCAGGAGTGCAATCAATAACATATCAAATATATAGTCAAGGTTTTAAAGAATATATTCTGTTGCTAGTTTGGGAAATATTGCATTTTTCAGAAAGATCCAATTTTATGAAAAAGCATTTTATCTCCAATCATTTAACCACCTTTCAGATTCTATCTTCTGGGATCTGTGGTACCGATCTGCACATCCTAGAAGGGAGAAACAAAGTACCTCTTCCTGCAGTTTTGGGCCATGAGGGAGCTGGAATCATAGAGAGTGTTGGAGAAGGTGTAACCTCTGTGAAACCAGGTAAGTAATTGGACAAGATATGGTGCCAATCCAGTAAATTCTCCTTTCCTAACTCACTCCCTGACATTTCCCCAAACCACCTGAAAGAGCCAAACTCATCACACAGTAACAAAAATATTTAAATGCATTCACACACATATATAAAAAATAGTCAGCCCAAGATTCAGAATCTTCAAAATGGGTGTTTATCTGAAAAAAACTCAAATAAAAAGAAATTTTCTCCACTCATTCCCATAGAGATTATCTCTAGTCTACCCATCTCAAATTAAACTAAAAGCTGCAAATATATACAAGATATTGGAATATCATCAGATTAAAATTATGTATGGTTAAAAATTTTTTTCTAGATGCACACACATATGATAATCCTTTAAATTGTCTGTAGCATCTATAAAAGTTTCATCAAGAATTTGCAATTACTTCTTCCACATTGGATACAATTCGTGTTCCAAACACTTTGGATAATGCTTTACAATATCACATTTTCCAACAACAAAGATGTCATAGATATTTTATACCTATTTTATGTATGAGAAAATATAAGCTTTGGCCAACTAATCATCTTATTCAGTTGATTTAGCTACTTAATGGCAGAGCTAGCATTGAAATACAGGTTGTCTTACCTCAAATTCTGCGCTCTTACTCAATAATATATCTCATAATTAGTACTAATTCTAGCATTAACACTACAGTATTAATTCATTCTTTCAACAAATATTTATTAAGTACCTACTGAGTGCAACACTCTGCTATGCTCCTAGCATAGAACACTAATCAAAGTAGACAAGCCTTATACCACAAATTCTTAGACTTAGGTCTCTATTGCCTTTGAGCCTCAATGTTATTAGAGAAAAATCTTCAATTTTTATTTTGTATTTTAAAGGTCTATTTGCAAACTCGGAAGGTTGAACACAGGTTCAAGTTGCCTTTGTTGGGGTTGCTCTGCTGAGCCAGGGCACTCTGTGAGATTGGGGTCTGGCCACTGACCGTGGGGTGCAATGCCGCTTCTTGGGGTGTATGAGAAGTGCTGAGCACCCTGGGGAAGTCCAGAGCAGAGCTCTGTGCAGACTGTGGAAGTTGACTGCGTGCTCCCTTTAGATCTGTGTATATACCCAGATGGTTTTCATCCACTTTGAGTAGTTATCCGAAGAAGCCTATGACTTCTTACCTTCGATTTTCTGAAAAACAGCTAGCCATATATAAAGCTCAGAACCCAGATGCGAAAAATTCAGAACTACCATATTTTTCCGTGTATAAGATGCCCCCATGTATAAGATGCCCCCCAGTTTTCCAACCCAAAATTAAGAAATCAATATTTTAAACATAAAACAGAATAAATTTTTATTTAGTAATTGCCACAGGTAATGTTTACATACCAGTATTATGATATTATACAGTATATCACTTTATTCAGCCTCTGTTGCATCACTGCTCTCTTCTTCATCACTATTAGTTCCAGACACATCAATTTCTTTGAATTCTATTGCATCACTGCTCTCTTCTTCATCACTATTAGTTCCAGACATATCAATTTCTTTGAATTCTATTGTATCACTGCTGTCTTCTGAGTCACTGTCTATATATGTGAGATCATCCTCATAAACTGGTGGCATTTTCTGAGTTAACTTTGTTTGTGTTCTCATGGCCAACCCTTCTCTCCTCATGAAACTGAAGCAGCATTTTGCCTTTTCTGTAAAATCAACAATGTTCATTTCACTTGCAAACATTCTTGCCTGACATGGAATAAGCTTGGTTGACTCACATAAGCCACTCTGGCGCTGCTCCACAATCCAAGTCTTAAGCCTCTGCTCCAAGTTTGCCCATTTTGCTGGTTTTCCTCTTAAGGCCTTCTTTTTTTTTTGGCATCTGAAGGAGTTGTTCTTCCTGTTTTCTTCACTGTCTGATCAGACACTCAGCGGGAGGAGGTCCAAATTGTCTCTCTGCAGCTCTATTTCCATGCTCTTTTGCATAGATGATTACATTCAGTTTGAATTTTGCAGAGTAAGACAATTGCTTACTGCTATTTATCTTTTTATTTTTTTGACATCTTTATGGGCTTGGAATGCTCTAGTCCCTGCTGCATCTGTGCACTCTCCACCTCCAATTACAGCATCAGCTGACGTCAATAACAATAAGGCTCATGATTGGAGAAAGCCTGTTTCACAAAGTATGAGCAGCTATGCACCAGCATAGCTCCCTCCTCGGCTGACTTCCATGTACAAGATGTCCCTGAATTTTCAGTCTAATGATTTTAGAAAAAAATAGCATCTTATACATGTGCAACAGTGACAGAGTTGAGTAGTTGCTTCAGAGACTATAATTTGCAGAGCCTAAAATGTTTACCACCTGACCCTTTACAAAACAAGTTTGCCAACCCATGATCACAGTATAGTGTAGTATGACAAACATATTAATATGTTGGGATGGGTTTTTTAACTGATTGAAAGGTTCTTGTTTTAGAATCTTTGCCACCATTGTCTTAAAAGGAAAGAGGTCAAATCACAGAAGAAGCTAAACAAACTGTTGCCCCAGCGTTTTAGCAAGAAAAATAATCTTGTTTCAAATTATGTTGTATGATAAAAGAGTTTCACTTAGTGTGGATGAGATTCTCTTCAATTATTTCATATGACTTAGTAAGAGAATCTTAAGAGTTTTCCAGTTAGCACATATCACAAAAACCTTTCCATCTTTTACCACTTGCTTAGCCTCTTAAGAGTCAGCAAGTTTTCAAAATTCACATTACCTTTTGGAGCAAAATAATTCATCTTTCATCATCAGTTCATCAGAATAGGATAACCCAAAATTTATATGTATCTTAATATTATGCAAACTATTTAGGAATTCTGGATCCAAATCTCCAGAAAAATTTTGAGGATTTCTGTTGTTTGTGGATAGAAAATAAATTTAAAAAGTCATTACTTGTTCTATACTGAACTTGACAAAAGTATGTACTGAAGATAAAAATATAACTTAAGAGGAAGATTAAGATTTAAATATTTGAAGTTAGGCATTTTCAAACAATTTTCCCCTGTGGTTATGAATACAGGACAAAGTTGGCTATTAGTTAAACAGATACCGTGGGGAGAGTGGTTGGGGAAGAAGAGGTGTGCGAGTGTCTATCGAAGCTTTCCTCAATGGGGTTTCTGGGAGAGGTTAAGTCCTAATTCCCTGTGGCGTTTAGAATGGTACTGATTATGTACCACACTTAGGAGAATGGAAAAAATCATCCAAGTCATAGACTGTGTTCTATGCTTCAGAGGAGCCCAAAGAGCACATGGGAGTCAGTGTTTGTAATATAGGGTGGGTGAGGTTGAGAAATGAGTTATGTAGACATCTTTGCAATTACTTTTTTCTGTGCTCTTTTATCATTCAACTACGTAAACTATTTTATACAGGACACGTTCAAGTCATATCTTCCCAGTTACATTAGGAAGTTCAGTGAAGAGTAAGTTCAAGGATTTACAATTAAATAGGGGGGGGGGAGTGTGAAAAGCGCTAGAGCAAAACCATTTTATGATAACATCAAATTTTATTTGGTTTTCTTTATTTCTAAAAGAATGTCATTATTGATGCTTTAAATATTAAGATAATCTGAGTCCTCGCCTTGCTCAGTAAATTTCAGTACATGTTGAAGACTGGTATGCATATGCCAAATGCCTTGCAGTTTAACAGTATGCCCACATTTTCTATTATAAAGAATAAGAAATTATGTCACTGGCCACTCATCTAAAGCCTTACTTTTTATACTTAGGTTGACCTAACAGAGTAATTGCTGTAGGAGCTAAAAGAAGAGTGCTAGGGGGAAAGATGCTGAAGAAATGAAAATGGTGTTTATGCTTTTCTGAGCGTATGCTGTTCAGAGAAAAAGAGATTGCTATACATCTGTTCATTAGAGCACTAGTATTAAACTTGAAATAATTTGATGGCAGGAGAGGGTTGTGTGATAATTTTACTTCTGATGTTTAAAGGATATTGTGTGAAGATTCAGCCTACTGTAATCATGTAAATTTTGCTGTTGCTTTTGGCTAAAATGCCCTTCTTGAAAATGCCATTTTAAAAAAACAAGGTGTATTTTTTATAGTTGCTATGAATGTGTGTATTTAAATTTCTGAATCAAAATATAAGTTGATTTAAAGTAAAAAAAATTAAAAAGGTCTAATTTGCATTAAAATTGATTTGTTTCCAATCCAAAGTGAAATAATTAACTTAAGTAATAATTATCATTAAAACAAATTGATAACATGCACTATAAATAATTTCCTATCAGTAAATATAATGCTTACTAGAGGCCTGGTGAACAAAATTCATGCACAGGGGGGTGGGGGGGGGAGGGAGGTCCCTCAGCCCAGCCTGCACCCTCTCCAATCTGGGATCCCTCTCACAATCCAGGACTGCTGACTCCCAACTGCTCTCCTGCCTGCCTGCCTGATTGCCCCCTAACCACTCCCCTGCCAGCCTGATTGACGCCTAATCGCTCCCCTACTGGCCCGATCTCCCCCAACTGCCTTCCCCTGCCAGCCATCTTGTGACAACATGGGGGCAGCCATCTTGTGATGACGTGGGAGTGGCTATCTTGTGACACAAGGGCACTGGGGTCAATTTGCATATTACCTCTTTATTATATAGGATTGCATTCCATGCCTCTGCCCAAGATTCTAATCACTTTGTTCTTTTTTCCTTAGGAGATAAAGTCTTAATGTTACCTCTTCCAGAGTGCAGAGAATGCTGTTTCTGTTTGCATCCCAAGGGCAACGTATGCGTGAAGGAAGAGTTAGTTTCAATTTCTCTGACTTCATTTCATCCAATTTGTTTTCATTGAGATAGGTATTGACTGGGAACTAAAATCCTGTATTTTTATGTCACACAGTGTTCTTTCTCCAACTGGATTAATGTTAGATGGAACCAGCAGGTTTACCTGCAAAGCACAGAAGATTCATCATCTTTTTGGCACTAGCACCTTCACTGAATATACTGTTGTGCATGAAATTGCAGTGGTAAAAATTGATGATGCTTCTCCAATGAATAAAGTCTGTATCATTAGCTGTGAGGTGCCTACGGGCTTTGGAGCCGTGTTTAACACTGCAAAGGTAAGAATGTACTTTTGTGCTGTTTTCAGTGACTTTACCTATATCCTGGGAGCCATTCAATCAGAGAGCTTCTCCCATTAGAGATAAACCAAAGTGGCTTTTTTTCTAATAGAATTTTATCTTCTGGGTTTGTAGGTTACTCCTGGTTCCACCTGTGTTGTCTTTGGACTTGGAGGAATTGGTTCAGCCATAGTCATGGCATGCAAAGCCTCTGGTGCTTGTAGGATCATTGGGGTTGACATCAACGAGAAGAAATTTCCCAGGGCAAGAGCATTAGGAGTCACAGATTTTCTCAACCCTCGGAACCTCAAGAAGCCTGTTCAGCAGGTGGTAGTTGAAATGACAGGCTTTGGTGCTGACTTTGCCTTTGAGGCCATTGGACTCATTGATACCATGGTAAGTGGTTTGGGGGCACAGTGAGGGGAAGTTGCTTGCCAAGATGTGGATACATATTAAATTAACTTTATGAAGACATGAAATTACTATAATTTTTAACTATTTTTGAGCACACCTTATGAGCCTTGCACCAAGATATTTATACAGTTTATCCCCTTTAATCTTCATATCATTTTATGAATTAAGTACTAATCCCCATTTTCAAGATTTAAAAACGTAATTGTGATTAAGTTAAAGCAGCTTGCCTAAGATCTCAAGGGGGGGCTGGAGGGGGATACCACATTCTATTCTATTCTATTCTATTCTATTCTATTCTATTCTATTCTATTCTATTCTATTCTATTTTTTCTTTTTCTCTCATACAGCACCCCTGAAAATATGTTTTAGGATTGTGAGTCAAAAGAGGTATGACTTCAGGGTACTGAGATGCTAATCAGTCTACTGCTGAAATTAGGTTGCGGCTTTGGAGTCATGCCGTCGGAGCTATGGAGTCTGTGTGATTATGGGAGTAGCCCCCAACCGTGAACAACTCTCCTTTGATCCACAGTTGATTAACTCTGGGAGAACCCTGAAAGGCGGCTTTTTGGGAGGTAGGTCTTTGATGCCACATCACCTTTTCCAGAAACCTGGTCACCCTGCATTGTCCTTGGCAAGAAACAAAGGAATGAAAAGGTAGGAAAAATATACCTCTATGAAAGGAAATAGGAGACATGTTAAAATAGAAAAGCACACTTCTGTCTTCCTCACAGGTATTTATTACCTGTGGGAGAAAAAAACAGATTAACATTTTGATATTATTAAGATATAGAATAATCACATTGCAGGGTACTCATTGGCACTCAGACATTCCATAATTGGTGGAGAGTCATTGTATGTCTCTGAGTGGCTCCCCAGCACAGGATTAGACTAGAAGAAAATCTCAGTGTATTGAACCCCAATTCTCACCATACAATCACCCTAATTTTTTATTCAAGAACAAAACAACTCTATTGTGGCATATTTGAATTTCTTTTTCCCAAACAACACCTCCAAACCCCTGTCTTGGCATGCTTCACACCCACAGATGCTTCCAGACTAGCACTGACCAAGAGAGCTTTCTGCAATGGTAAAAATGTCCTAGAGCTGGACTGTCCAATAAAAGAGGCACAAGCCATATATAGCTATTGAACATCTTATGTGTGGAAACCAGAAAACTGACTTTTCATTATATTTAATTTTAATGAGTTTACATTTAAATAGCCACATATGGCTAGTGGCTACTTTATTAGATAGTACAGTTGCGATAGCTTGCTCTCTGACGTTTGCTAGCATGCTCAAATAAGATTAATTTGGCATAAACTTAAAAACAAGGGCGTTGCTGTCAGAATACTCACCAGACCTATTCCTTAGCAAGTTATTTAAGCTCATTAATTGCCAGTACTATTTTCTGGAATGTAGAGTAAATAATAGTTTTGTTCTTACATAATATAGAGATAATAAAATGAGAAGATGCAGATAAAGCACTTGGCAAGAGAAACTGACACATAATAGGTACAAAATTAACATTAGATTGTAGCAGTAACAACAATGATTACAGTAGCTTATGAGCCCAGACAAAAGATGAGGAGGAAGGCACATATATTGCAAAAGATAACTGGAGGCCTTTTTGCTATCCTAAAATATCTGGGTGCTCTTTCCTTTCTTCATTGATTTAGCTTTGCATGAGTTGATTGAACGTAAATAAAACTGGATTCATACCTAGATGTCAAATACTGGAAAAAACTTTGCCATTGACCAACCTCTTATATAAAAGCTTGTTTTCCCAGAAACTCTATATGTCTGAATTTTCCTATTTAAATAAGTACTCAATTTAAAAATTGAACTATTTCAAAAGAGATTAGGCTGGTGCTTGGAATGGTGAAGCATAATTGACACTGATCATTTTTTTCAGTGCTAGTTGTCCTTGGCTTCATTGGAGAAATGTATTTCTATTCCTAACACTCCTCATTATGTATCTTCCATGTCTCCTTCCTTCCTCATTAAATGCAAATACACCAAGGAAAATCACCCTAATGAAACTCTCACTCAGATGGAAAAATCTGTGATGGCTTTGTCCTTTCACTTCCATGCAGACACATTTCTAAGTTTCTCAAAATCCTACATAACAATTGCCTAATACTCACATATTTTAGTACAAATTTCCCTATTAAGAAACATAAAATATCTGCAGCCAGGGCTCTGATAAAGAGTACCAACTATCTTTTTAGAAAAAGAAAAAAGAAAAGAAAAGAAGAAACTCAACTTTTTTGTGGTGCTTTATTTTTAAACCATCTATATATATAAAAGCCTAAGCAACCATCTGACCGTGCGACCGTCTGACCGATAGCTATGATGCGCAATGACCACCAGGGGGACAGATGCTCCAACTGGTAGCTATGACACACACTGACCACCAGGGGGCAGACACTCAACGCAAGAGCTGCAGTGGCTTGGCAGCTGCGGTTCGTGGGTGATGCACCTGGAACCACAGAGGAGGAAGCCCAATTCCAGGGTGCATCACCTGAGAATAGCCCTCTCGCAATCTGGGACCCCTCAGAGGATGTCGGAGAGCTGGTTTTGGCCTGATCTCCACAAGCCAGGCCAAGGGACCACACTGGTGCATGAATCCGTGCACCTGGCCTCTAGTACCTTATAAAAACATAATGTTGTATAAACAGGACTCTGCTAGCAATATAAAAACCTGGGTCCTGGGTTCAGCTTCCCCACTTTCTGGATGTGAATCAGAGTTTTAAAACAGGATTTGATTTCATCAGACATGGTAAGATGACAGACACAGGGACAATTGCCTTGAAAGAAGAGTTTATTGCTCATAGTTCCCAAGAGAAGGGGTCATGCCATACCATATAGGTCCTTATGGGGAAGCACCGGGGCTAGACAGGAGACAGGAAGAGCTGAGGGAAAGCATGGGCCAGAGACTTACTGTGTTTTTCATGAGAAGGAACGGGCAAGATGAGTGGGAAAGCTAAGCAAGTTTCAACAGGTTCTAGGCTATAGGAATGGTCCTCAGTTATCTGGTAACTGGTCCTAGGATGATTTAGGGCAGAGGAATAGTATCCCAAAATGTTGGAGACTGATAAAAAGAGAGAAATCAGGAATATGGACTCAAGACTGTTTGGTTTGCATATCAAAAGCATGCTAAAGCAGGCTGTTCACTACCTCTAGAAATCAGTAAACCCTGGGAAAGGCAGTCTCTCTCCAAGTCTAGAAGGCCCCAAGATATCAAAGCATCATAAAATATAGAAAATTAAAAAATAATAAATACAATCAGTGAAAAATACTTAACATCTCTAAACCTCAGTCCCCTCAAAGTTATAAAAATTGGGAAAAAAATGCCAGCATCTTCTACTAAACTATTCTCCAACACACCACTGAAGAAGTAGAAAAATTTATTTTTGAGGTTGAAATGTTAAGGTTTTTTTTTTTTACGTATTTTTATTGATTTCAGAGAGGAAGGAAGAGGGAGAGAGAGATACAAACATCAATGATGAGAGACAATCATTGATTGGCTGCCTCCTGAACATGCCTCCTATACCAGGCACCGAGCCTGCAACCCTGGCATGTGCCCTTTACCAGAATCAAACACGGGACCCTTCAGTCTGCAGGCCAATGCTCTATCCACTGAGCCAAACCAGCTAGGGCTGAAATGTTAAGTTTTGAAGGAGATAGAGCCACAGGTAGAGGGAGAATATGGTAACTAAAACCAAATCAGCTGGAAGGTAAGCTGTTTTAAGAAGAAATCCTTAATGCCCTGAAGGCAAAGGAACACTGTGGTTTGATGGTCTGTGACCATGACAGTGTCAGGTCACTCCAACAGTTCATCCCAGCCCTGACACTGTTCACCTACAATGCTGGGGTGTCATGGTACTCCTAAGTGATAGCAGAAATTTGCAATGGGATAAATTACCTTACTTCTGAAGATTAGGAAGAGGATCAAGAGTGAAATGGATTACTGCCTCCCATGAATGCTTTTGCCAATTTTACACATAATAAATTCATTTGATTCTTTAATTAGTTTAGTATTTTTTAGGTTTCTTTATTGTTGTCCTTCTTTTCTACAGAGTACAAAAGCAGAGATTGCATTCCTAAACTTGTAACTGACTACCTGCAAAAAAAAATCAACATAGATCCACTTATAACGCATACATTCCATTTTGAAAGAATAAACAATGCATTTGAAGTGCTCCAGGATGAAAATGAAAATTGGTGAGTCTGTGCGCGCGCACGTGTGTGTGTGTGTATGTGTGTGTGTGTGTGTGTGTGTGTGTGTGTGTGTTGTGTGTCTGTGTAAGATGTATCTGTATGAGATATCTTATACATGTAACACATCCAAAATTTTATGAAAAATGAGGTCTCAGATCAAGTATAAAAGAAGGGGGGGCATGGAAAACGGTTTAGAAAATGGCAATGAAAGAGTGCTAAGTCAGTGTGAAGAGCGCTAAACATTTTACTCAGTCACTGTGTGATCTAAACGGCTACCTTGCCCATGATATTGTCCTTATCTAAAAATGGGGATAATGATACCTCTTCTTGTTATTGGACGGGCTCTGCACCTGGGTGGGTCTGCCTAGGGCCACCTGAAGTGTGTGGGTTCTTGACTTCGTGCAGGAAACATTTCACAAGTCGAGTCCAGGTGGCTTTTGAGAGTATGTTTAATAAATCTGGGACAATGAAATGAAAGAAGAAGTAACAGGAGACAGCTGAGTGACAGAAGTGAGCTCACTGGGAAGTCAGAGACACAGGGGGCCCTGGAGACAGATTCAGAGAGTAAGCCTGGGGCAAACTGCCACTGCTCACTGCTCCCCTGGCTACAAGACTCATAGGGTCCTTTGGAGTTTAGGAGATGCATGCCTGTGAAGGAAGAAGTTGGGGAAGGGAAAAATGTGAGTAGACGCTCCCAGGAGGGAGAGCACACCCTAGATCCCTTGTCTTGAGGCTTTTAAAAAAATCTTTCCTTGGCTGGCTGGAATCTTAGGGGAGGTCTCAACAGAGGGTCTTAACAAAATATTCATTAGCTTTTTAGGTGTGTCCTTCAATATGTTCATTCATTAAAATGTGTGTATAAAGGGGCCAGGATTATTTTCTGGTTTGGTTTTATTTTTAAAGAATATTATTGAAGAGGTACTGGGCTGAAGCAGGTCTGTCCCAGGACAGTCTGTAGTACATAAACCATTTGCCCCAAAGTGACCTTGGTTAGGGAAGATAAAACCTTGTGATTTATTAGCTGGCTGTAAACTGCTCAAGTGGTTTGGCCTTGTGTAATTATTTTGTCTCAGTTTCCCTTTATTCCACTTGTCAAGGAATTCCCCTAGCTTCTTACTATCCTCCCTCATTCCCCTCTTAGATACTTCTATCCCTGAAATCTTTTCAGATTGATGAGGGAGGACAGTCCGTTTTCAGTAACTGCTTCCTGCTGACAAGGGTCATAGTCCCTGTGTATGTAAGGTGAGAATGTCTCTCCCTGCCTGACCTAGGGGGGGAGCAAGGGAATGGAATCTGGGACCAGAACAGAGAGGCCATTAGCTAATCCTTCTAAAGTAGGGATAAGCTGGAGTTCCTGAAGTGTCATCATCCTAGAGGTGACAAATTTGACAAGAAGGTTAGTGGAGTGGGGGACAATTCTTTGAAAGCCCAGTCACCACCATATCTGTATCAGGTTTTTGGTTTTTTGAAGAGGAGCTTGAAGTTCTCAATGGGTTCAAAAGAGTAGGTCTCAGGTTATGGTTCCTGTGGGGATTCACAAGAAACAGGTTTAATTTGAGATAAGTGAACCCAAATGGCTATCACTGTGAGCTTTATTGCAGTTGGGTTGCTTAGTAGAACCTGATATGGACCTTAGCACCTGGATTAGCATTAAGTACAATGCCTGAAATATGTGAGTTGCTCAGTAAAAATTTGTGTTTAAATGAGTGAATTAATGAGTCAAGGTCCCTAACACAAATGCATTTAGAACTGCATGTATCTAGGGTACCTGCCAATATACAATGTAAATGTACATTATTCTTCATGATAGAGCCCTGTTTCACAGCTATTAAAAGTGAGGGTATAACACCATAGGAGATGAGGAACAAAACTAAGAAGCTAATGTTTAAAGTGATGGCCCTCACGTAGCCATTCACAACTGAAAAGTAGAGAGAGGGGGCTATGGTAATTCTTCTGTCCCCACCAGACAAGCTCATGGCCAGCTGAAGGGTGATTAAACGTCACAGAATGAAATGCACGCTGTAACTGTGGATTCTCATGAGATGACTTCTCAAGGGAGCATAATTCTCTCTTGCCTTATCATCTTTGCCTCTTATTACTAAAAATCAAATACCATGTTTAGTGACTACACACTAAACTTGATTCAGAAACATTTTCTGGTGCCTTGAGGGGAGATTAATATAGAGATAACAAATGGGGGTTGGTAGATAAGTTTGTCTCTTAAAATGCTCATGCTACAATTATTTTGTGCTGCCCACATTTATGCAGGCAAGTCAGTCATTTCAATGTTTGAATTTCTGTGTTTCAGTATCCGCTGTGTCCTCTTGTTTTGAGATTCCTAGATGATAAAATGGAGCGTGAACATCCTCAGCAATGCTATTTGCTTTCTTTTTCACTACCTTGATGACTCCATTGCAATATATAGAACCCAAAATTGGAAAGGGAGCACTTCTGGAATTTTAAGAAATAAAACTGTTATAATAAACTATTTTGAAACTGGTGTTTGCATTTCAGCCTAAAGCTTAAAGAGAAAAAACAGGGATATGTTAGTGATGGAATGCATCTTCTGCCCATCCTAACGATTTCACTTTAAATGTATTATGCTTCATTAGACAGCTTGCGTATTTTGAAAACTGATTTAAAGCATGAACCCTTCTCCACCACTCTATGTGTTGCTGAGTTGGCCTGTTATGCAAAGCACATCTACCAATAGTCTGCCTTCTTGGGCAAATAGTGGGAAGAGGGGTGACTAATTCTTTGAATCTGAGCTTGACATACGTTGGGCATTGTTTTTCTAGTTGGAGATGAGGGGGCTGTTAACAGTGGTTCAAAAATGGTAAAACTCCTTGACACTCAGTCTTACCTGCCTTTCTCAAACAAAAATGATATACGAACAAATAAAACAGAAACAGACTCCTAAGTGCAGAGAACAAACTGAGGGTTGCCAGACAGGAGCAGAGTAGGAGGACTGGTGAAAAGGGGGAAGGAATTAAGTACAAATTGGTAGGTACAAAATAGTCATAGGAATCTTTTCTATTTCTTCTCAATATGTTGTTCTCATGTGGAGGGCCTACAGTTTGGGGGTGCAACTAAGCCTTTTCCATTCCTTTTCTCTGCTCCATTTCCCCAGCCCATGACTGAATAGAGAAATCTGGTCATTGATTTATTAGACTCTCACCGTGGTCGGCAAACTGCGGCTCGAGAGCCACATGCGGCTCTTTGGCCCCTTGAGTGTGGCTCTTCCTAAGCCTTAGGAGTACCCTAATTAAGTTAATAACAATGTACCTACCTATATAGTTTAAGTTTAAAAAATTTGGCTCTCAAAAGAAATTTCAATCATTGTACTGTTGATATTTGGCTCTGTTGACTAATGAGTTTGCCGACCACTGTAGAGTATTCCAGCTAGTTATTAAAAATTAAACAAAGGCAACCCAGGTGTGGGATTTTTAATTCTCTATACTATAAAAAAAGTAAAAAGGAGCCCAGCTGGTGTGCGTCAGTGGTTGACCTCTGAACCAAGAGGTCACAGTTCACTTCCCGGTCAGGCACATGCCCAAGTTGTGGGCTCGATTCCCAATTAGGGGCATGTAGGAGGCAGCCAATCAATGCTTCTCTCTCATCATTGATGTTTCTATCTCTCTCTCACTCTCCCTTCTTCTCTGAAATCAATAAAAAAATATATTTTTAAAAGTAAAAAGGAATAGATGAAATCAATTTTAATATTGTTTTATCAAACCAGACATATACAAAAATGTTATCAATTCAACACATAATTTAAAAATTTTAAGTATTGATTATTTTAATTACACTTACAGCACATCTTAATGTGGACTAGCCGTAGTCACGTCTTCAATAGCCACACGTGGCTAGTGGCTACCACATGGACAGTACACTTCTACAGTTTCTGTATTCTCAACATGCATTTTTTGAAATTACAATTAAAATGCATTCTTATATTCTTTTCATAACTAAAAAATTAATAAGAAGAATGTAAATTGAAAAGCAAAATGGTGTATGCTGTTCAATCTGAAAATCAATTTTTTTGGAAACTGTCTTATATTCACTGAGAAAAGTTTAGGAAGGCCAGAGGTGCCTGGATAGTGAAAATGAGCACTATTACCCCTTTTTCTGAAAGGCCAGTGGGCTGCCTTGTCTTGTGTGACCTTTCCCCTCAGGGAAGTGTTAACGTAGCGATAGTGAGCAGAGGATCCCTGCTCTGCATAAAGGCTCCCGCCCAAATGACAGGCTGCTAAAAGCCAGACTCCACCAAAGTCTTTTTTTAATGAGATATTATTGACATACTAGTGGCCCGGTGCATGAAATTCGTGCACGGGAGAGGGTATGTTCCTCAGCCTGGCCTGCACCCTTTCCAATTTGGGACCCCTCGAAGGATGTCCTACTGCCAGTTTACAGGGATCGGGCCTAAACCGGCAGTCGGACATCCCTTTCGCAATCCAGGACTGCTGGCTTCTAACCACTCACCTGCCTGCCTGCCTGCCTGATTGCCTCTAACCACTCTGCCTGCCGGCCTGCTTGCCCCCAAATGCCCCCCCCCCCGCCAGCCTGATCACCCCAAACGGCACCTCCTGCTGGCCTACTCGCCCCTACTTTCCCTCCCCACTGGCCTGCTCATCCCCAACTGTCCCCCTGCTGCCTGCTCACTCAAAACTGCCCCCCCGCTGTCCTGATCACCTCCAACTGACCCCCACTGATGGCCTGCTTGTCCCCAACTGGCCCCCCTGCTGGTCTGCTTACCCCCAACGGCCCCACCCCCCACCAGCCTGATCACCCACAACTGCCCTCCCCTCTTGGCCTCTAACTGCCTCTACCTCGGCCCCGCCACCATGGCTTTGTCCAGAAGAACATCTGGAAGGTCTCCCAGTCTAATTAGCATATTACCCTTTTATTAGTATAGATGAATTATTTTATAGAATGGGCATTTTATTACAG